AAAGTCTTAACAGATACACATTTTAAAAGCAGGAACAACGAAAGGAAAGAAGCAAAGCAAACAGGGAAAAAGACAAAAACATCTTTAACAGGTTGAAAAACAATTCTCTGACTTCAAGAGGTGGACAATAAAAACAACTCAGTTTGTTTGACTAGTAAGATTTTTGATTTTGTGTGTGTTTTTCTGAATCACATTTTACATGCATTTAAGCTTTTTTGTGAAGTTATTTTTACAGCACAACTTGTGGTAATTTAAATTAACGTACAATCAGTGTTCAATTTAAAACAACTATCGCGAGGATCTTGACCAAACTGAATAGAAAAACACTAGACTTATAAAGAAACCAGCTCAATTTAAAAAGTTCATTAACTTTTTCAAATTTTAAATACGTAAGTCAAGTCAATGGGCGCCGCTGGTAACCTGGTGCTTAGTGTGGACGTTCTGGGTTCAAATCCAACCTGTGGCTCCTTTACAGCATGTCATTCCCAGCTCTCTCTTCCCTATTTCTGACTATGTCCACTGTCTTGTCTCTAAACAAAGGCAAAAAAAGCCCAAAAATCAACCTTTAGAAAATACATAAGTCATATTATGTTACATATTTAGTTCATGTCATGTTTCTTACACGAGCAACTTAACTAACTTATTACATAACAGTAGATAGACTGTAGTGTTCATTGATAACAACTGTCCTCTTCTATCAAAGTTCAGTCAAATCCTGACAGCTGAGATACATCTGAAAAACATTGGCACCTTAACTTCGTTTCTATGTTAAGATTCTTTTAACATTTAGAGGGAAAAAAAATCACCTCTTTAGGCCGTAAAACTGCATGGACGGCTGCACAAAGCTGTTAGTATTCACCCACACCAACAGCCATGCAGAATCTTATTTACTCTGCAGCTGAGGATAAGGAAGAGGTCTCGGCGACAAACAGCCAACGTTAGCCACAGGTCAACTCCTCAGGGGAGGGCTCCAGTCTGGGATTTTGTGCCAGGCTGATCAGCCATTTCTCAGGGACTGAGGGAGTGAAAAACCACCTCTGAGTTGTTCAGCTTAGGCAGCTAAAGCCACTTTCACAGCAAATCTAAGAATGCTGGACACAATGACAACACAATGGATAACTGATAGTTAGAGAATTACACAGAATTGTTCGAAATGTTCAGTCCTCTGGTAGACGGTTTCCTGTCTGAATCACAGTCTAAGGAGTTCGTTCTCCACAGTCTGCTGCTGAGGAAACAAGCAGATCATGTCACCTAAAGCAGTGTCTCCTTATGTTCCCGTGTGAAAAGGTCAAGTTTGGTATGTGTCCATGAATAAAACAGAAGCATGGCTCTTGGTTATATTAGGGAAGTGTTGGTCAAACAGCACTTTGCATGCAGTAGCAAAAGTGGAAGCGAGTAGACCAGAGTGATCGTCACACCTGAAACCTGACCTTTCATATAGGCAGGCAATGCATTCAACGAGAAGCTGAGATCTGTTCAGGGTTAGAGGTTACTGAGCGTCAGACATGATGAAATGGTTGACATTATCAGCGTTCACTTCTGATACTTAAGTTGCTCATCATTTGCATTTTGCAGAGTTGTATGCTTTCATGCTGCAACTTAAAAAATACTTGATCTTTCAAACAAATAATTTGATAATAATGCATTTATGACGGTTGGTTGTCCTCAAGTGACCATAAAAGATTTTAGATGTTGTTCTTCATGATATTTCTTTTATATACACATTCAATCCTTTATTCTATTTCAACTTGAACATTTACCAGGAAACATAAAAAGTCAAGAGAAAATAAAATGTTAGACACAACACGTCCTGAGATTGCAGAAAAATGAATTCCAACACAGTTTGCACATTTGTCTTGTGGGTAACAATTATAAGCACAAGTGAAACGTAAAACAGCTGCAGAACTGTGAGATTTAGGTACAAATATTTTTTTGTGAAGGTCCCAAAAAAGATTGTTTTTCCTGGTAAAGTTCATGGTATCTAAACTAAAAAAAAAGGAGGAACAGAAGTCATTACCCAAAGCATCCCACTTAATTGCTCTTCAAATGTCTCCCGACTTCCTCCTACTATATATGTTACGATCTTTATAACTTTGATTTCTACTGCAAGTGTTACTGCATTTTTGTTTATCAGGGTTATTCCACCATAGATATATTATAACAGACTACTCAGCAGAGATGTATAGGGCTCTGCTATCACATATTTGGCCCAGCTGACAACAGATAATGACAGTTTTATTTAGGTAAAATACAGAAATTGGCTGTACAGACAGACTAAAGTTGCTTAAATGTTACTTTTTTGGCCAGATCTCAACTACTCAACGTGTCTTATGACATTAAGATTAATCTACAGAGAAACTGCTTCATTTTATGAAAACTCAGTAGGCAGAGATGGTTTGTTGTTGAGAACCTTTAAGCCTAAAATGTCAGCACTCATGTAAGCGCTCCACTGCAAGCCAGCTGTCTAGGAGAGCAGTAACTGCCAACAACTCAGGCCCTCAGGTTTTCATTTACTCTGTTTCTACACCATCACTTCCACATCTTCTCACCCCACCTCCACTTTCCTCACCCTTTGCTAGACTACAGAGCTGGTCTCTCAGGTTTCTGCTGCTGGCAGAAAATAAATAAAAATGCATGACGGTAGGGAAGATGCAGAAGGTTACCACAGTGTCAGAGTACACTTTTGGCATTTCAGCAATGAGAAACTAAGGGAGACAGCTGTTTCAATAAGTATAACATTTCAGATGTCTTGACTTCTACTACAGTGATGAAAGTCAGCCAGCTAGCTAGTAGAGCCAAACAAGGAAGCTTGCATTTTGAAAGGTATTAATGACAAGCTCTTTTTAAATAAATTATATAATTGAAAAGCCAGAGAGGCTCATGGTTTTTCATCCCTGGATAAGAAGAGAGAAAAAGCAATGCATCTTTAATGCCCATGCTTCAGTGACGGAGGAACAAGGAGATTGAGTAATTGCATAAGAGTAAAGGTTAATCTGCTGTGTTTTCCCACATAAAGAGTACAGAAAAGAGTGACACCTCTGCCTGCTTAGGAAACACTCGATCTGCTGGGTGGAACCTATTCAGGAAGACGAATGAGTGCAACAGAAGCAATTTGATGTGCAGACCTGCGAGTGATGTGTCACTGCCCTGTGATCTCAGATATACAGAGACTTTAATAGGTTCTGAAAGTGTGGATACACATACATTGATCTATAACCACAGTCACTGGTAGATATCTGACTGACAGAGATTTATTCTCTGATAGAAAAGATAGAACCCATTGCCACTAGTACAGAGTAATGGAAACTGACCTACCAGTGCTTTGACAAACTAGTGGAATCCTTAAATATGCTCAAGTTAAAGTTATGAAATTGTAAATGATTGGCTTTAATGATAGATAACTATTTGCAATTTACTGGGGAGGTCAAGCCTTTTTCCTGATCCAAATAAAACTTTATTCAGTGAGGTGGATTAGTCGGTGACTTAAGTGCCGGAGACAAGAATTTTCAAAGGACGTAAGACCTATAAATAACAATTTTTATTGGTTTTACCTACATAAATTAAATGAATTGAACAAATGCACAGGTTTCACAAATACAACAGTAAGTGTTTGTGTTGGGATTCAGATATTGACATTAATTTAAGTTCCCTGAAGAGAGGGTGGGGTTTAAAGAACAATCAAATGGTTAACAGATGCTACAGCCCTTTGTAGAGTTGAAGGGAACCACAAACCTGGGTGATAATGATCTGTTTTTGTCTCTATGAGTGACTGCTTACCAATATCTAGTCACTTCAAGCTGAAGTCCAGTGTATTCTTGAACATCTATTTTAACACATCTTATGTACCAAAATGCTCAGAAATCTCTTTGAATGCTATGACATGTGAAATGTTTTGCTTTCAAGTCCTTCGTCGTGAGATAGCCTACCGCTACTTTCTGACGTTAGCATTTATGCAACACGACTTACAAGCTAGAAGGTAAAGTAACGCAGAAAGTGTTAAGGTATAGCCTGATATATTAATGGCTTTTTTGCTGAAACATTTAAAAATTATTACAAAGAAGTCTAGTTCCAGTGGTTCTCAACTGGTGTGTCGGTCGGTTCATTTCTTTGTTCAGTTTCTTTGTTCTTTCCTGCTTTTAACCATCTGAGGTCAAAACTGCACAATTTTTTGTTTGAATAAATCTCATTGATTAAAAAAAAAAATGTATATCAGAAATTTGGGTCCCTGTTCTTCATGAAGGAGTCACTGATGGGTCCTGAGGCTCGATCAGTTGAGAAACACTGGTCTAGTCTTTATAACGAAAATATATTTAGCCTAACCATCAAATGAAGGTTCATTGCCCTTATCTGAAATGTTCGCTTATACGCATCACTGATCTTTAACTTGAAGCTGTCAGAAAACTTCCACTCACAAGAGTCAGAATAGCTGACCTCAAGTTAGGGGGTTCGGAATGCACTCTTTTTCATCACTAAGGTAAACACAATCCTATTTCAAGGCTGTTAAACAAAAAAAGTGAAGAACCACAAAAACTGAGAATTTGGATACACACGTCAGTAGGTTAATATTTAGCCAACTGACTTGTGAGTATCCAATCAGAAAAACTAACACACTGGAGAATGATTAGCCTATGCACCCCGAGACACATTAAAGTGGCCTAAAATCATCTTCACAAAAGACGTCATCCTCCGACGCTTTCTCCTCCCAGTCCCATCTAAAAAGACATCTTTACGAGTGTGTCACTACAGATTGGTCATCAACGGAATATACTCAACGATGCAATTTAACTCATCAGTGCAGCTAAAACTCCCTCCATCCTAATTAGGCCAAATTACACATGAGGAAACGATCAAAACAAAAGCTACTGCTGCTTTAAATCCGAACCTCTTTCAGTTTTTAGAGCGAGGGAGGATTATAAACGAGAATAAAAAATTACTCCAGCAGGCGAAATCAAACTGTCTCAAGGATAGAAAAAACACTGAAACGCTATCCGACACTCCCCTTCACAACAAGCGCCAACCAGCACTTTGAGTGACTGACCGACCAGTGGAGTCCAGCCGCCCTGAAGCAGAGCGCCTGCTGTTTGGATGTGTGCAGCCCCCTGGACTTGGTGGGAGGGGGAGAAGTTTCCCCAAAGACGCGCTTGGATCGCTGTGTGTGCGTGTGTGTTTGTGTGTGAGAGAGAGAGATGATGCCTTCCTCCTCCAGCCCAGTCTCACAAGCTGCTCAGTGGATTTGCTGATTTCCCGAATTTATTTTTTTCTCTAACTTATTCCACGGGATTGAGGAGAGATTTTGAGCCAGAGGATGCTCCCACAGGTCATTCGGATTCTGTATGTCTTGTCTTTCTGCTTTTTCCAAGGAGGCTTTATCAGGTGAGGCGTAAAAACGTTATCTTGTCAATGTCTTTGTGTTCGTCCGACTTTATTTCTCTCATCAGTTGCTTAAAATTAACTTTTTGACCATTAAGGACTAATAACGTCATGATTGAATATACTTTTACGCAGCCCTACATCTTTTTCCATGTCTCTATTGTTGAGGTGGAGTTACGCTGAAGATTACCTTCAAGAAACTATCCATTTATCTTGTGTTGCTGCGTGTTAATGGGCTGAAACATAACTCAACGAGGAAAAAAAGCTTTATATTTAACCTGCAAGCCAGCGCAACCCGAGCGACGCGGGCATGATTTCACCCAGAATAATCCAACATTTTACGCACAGACAAATCCGGAATCTCTGGTTACCAACCGTGAAATTCATTGTCGCAATTTGTTAATTGGCTGACAATGTAACTTCGGTTAAAATTCCTGTGCAAAACTGGGAGATTAAACAATAGACATCTAACCGTGTTGTTTTAGTGCGCACAGAAAAAAAAAAAAAAAAAACCTGCCCTGGTTGCAAACTACCTGTGGAATTCACTCCCTTCTTGAAGAATTTATTCGAAAATATCAAAGCCTAAAATGAAGGCTCTGGTTTAAAATACCACATTCATGAGGTGATTAATTACAGTAGCAACAATATTTGAACAAAGAGCTCATCGGGAAACATCTCAGTCTTTGTTTCCTTACATGAACATGAAAAAAAAATTATATGCATGCTCACTTGGAATTCTGTATCTCTGATGCTTCTGGAAAGAAGTGTTTGGCACGTGTTCAGAGAGGCAACATTAAAGTCAGAAAAAGGGGGAGAGAGCTCCAGTCAGAGCGTGTTTAGTGTATCTGGGGACAAGCAAAACTAACACACCCACCTCCATCCTTCTGTCCTCCCCTTCTTTCTTTTTCTCTCAGACTAGCAGCCAAGCCTACTTTTATCTCCTCCTTCCTCCCCTATCTCGCTCTCCTTCTTGGTGGCACAAACTTTCATTTGCAGTGAACACTTTCCTTATTTCATGCCCTGCCACCCTCAGGTGTGAGCGGGAGGGAATTAGGATCTACATAATCCAGGAGCAGAACAGAACTGTGACTCCGTGAACCCAGGGGCAAGGGTAGCAGCTCTTAGCCTGAAGAGCAGTCAACTGACAGCTCCTCCTCTGAGAAATTATATGCTCTCCTGCCAGCCTTATCTGCTCTGTGTAGGGAGGGCTGGAAGGGAAAATGAAGGGAGTAAAGAGGGCAGGTGTAAAAAGACAGAGTCTGATGAAGGTCTGGGGGAGAGATGGAGGGTTGAAATGGAGGAGAGGAGCAAACAAAATGAGAACAAGGAAATGTAGATGGTGATTCATTTAGCTGGAGGCAGCGGGTAGATTAGTAAAGTGGAGAGAAGACGGAGAGAAATGGTTCACATAGGAAAGAGGAGATGAGATGGGGGAGACAGAGAGTGGGGTGAGAGACGGAAAGTATTGTCAGAGATTTAAAAAGGAGATTGTCATGTAGAGTAGTGCTCAAGCTGGACTGAAGAGATAGGTTTCCAATTGAATAGGCTTCCACAAGAGGAAATGAAAAAGAGGAAAGAAAGGTATAAATAATAAAGTTAATATCACAGACTGAGATGGTGACAGTTGAGGGTTTGGGTGTGTTAAAGAAACCGTGATGTGTTTTGTGTTATTCCACTTGAATTTCAACAGGAAAGGAACCCCACAATCTGATTCTTGAACCTTTTCTCCCACTGAGTTTGGTTGAATGCTGAATGATGGTTTTTTTTCTCATCAGGATTCAACAAAGGAACTTGTAAGAATGTAACCTGAGAGAAATATTTTGAGCATTTGTACACGCAGAGTGGGAATTTTCCGGCCTTAGTAATCACAGATTGGCTTTCACCGTTTCTGTCTGCAACATTCAGTTTACCATTGTTTGCAGTTGCTTGAAATTTGGCTCAGAGGTGGTAGCATTCTCTATTAATGTTGTTGGGCTAGTTCTTCTTTATACAAAGATTCATGAAAAACTGTTTCTGATATTGTGATTTTTTTTCTCCCAATAACCAATCCAATTCTTACCAAAGTTTTTTTTATCTTATGTTGAGCAAATAATAGTTTTAATCTTGTATTAAGTTTTGATCAAGGTCAATAGAGGGCTATATGGTGATGTCAAAAGGTGCAGTGCCCATTGCATAATATAGTATGCACTCAGGTGATTTTTTCAACAACATACAGGCATTGTTCAGACTGTGCTTGAAGTCATACTTTATCCCCACATGTCGTATTCTGCTTCTGGTTAGTGATTGTCTGATATAGAACAACCTCACAACAAACAATGCATTCATTTACCACAGAGCCAGTCGGCTTGCTTATCTGCTAAACTTTGACTGTTGCCAAAGGAGCTTTATACCTCTGTTACACCTGTGCTTTTCTACTCCGATATCAGTCACAGTAGCAGCTGTGAAAAACACAACATATACACATTTACAGCAGAAGTTCTTGAATGTGCCATCTAAAACGTTTCACAGAGTAAAAGTAAAAAACCTCCTTAAGGATTTAAGTACACGCATGTAGAAGCATTCAATGCCGGCTTCTCTCTTCCACAAGATGTCAGTTTTTATAGGAATCATTCTGACAAATGTTGTCTCAAAATGTATTGTGGTATAACTCGATCAGCAACAGTTGAAGTTTTTAGCATTTTGTTAAGTACTCTAAAGACATTTGGCGCATCTCATAGTTAAATTAGAGTTACAAGCTCCACCATCTGGTGTGGAGTATCATTAACCAGCAGAACTCATGCTGTGCTGCATGTATTCACAGTGAGGTCTTAAACAGCAGTTAGATCCACTTTCAGTTCACAAAACTTTACATTCTGTGCACTGGATTGCGAGACGTTGTAATCAAAAACTGATTCCAACGGTATATAGAAATCACAACAATGGACACGCAAATTGTGCTAATGTACCCACACCCTCTGGTCATTGGATGTGTCTGTACATCAGCAAATTGAGAGTGAAGCTTAGTGAAGGGCAACAGAATGGGACCAAGGATTCCTGCTGTCCTTGCCTCCGGTCAGTGAGAGATCATGAGTCAGATGTGGAAATATCAGAGAGTATCATCTGATGGAGCTGGGCCATCATGGGCCTGGTTATTAGGTGTCAATTTGATAGAGGCTGAGTGTGTTTGTGAGAGACAGATTTGGAAGAGGCCCGGGGCTTCATCTTATAAGAAATAATTCATTAATTACAGTCTTTACAAAGTATGTTGCAGCAAAATTATCGAAATAAATGATTGATTGAAATGAAACTTGTAAGATGATCACTAGATGCTCGAATCTAGTCCAGGATATAACAAGCAAAGGTATTTTCTTCTATACTGAAATTATTCTGCCTATTTTTGCGGCGATATATTCTATTTGTCACTTTAGTTTAAAATATGTGGTACTGTTTTTGTGGTAATATGCTTCCACTACACTCTTATAAAGCAGATGTTTGGTGGCAGATTAGTTGAATCCTCATGGATGTCCAATTATGATGATGATGACAGCAAGACACTTCTGTTGTTAAACAAAACTGTTGTAACACTGGAAGAGTGTTCGGCTAAATAAAATGATCATTTTTGTGACAAACGTCAAACTCTTGAATCGGGGAACAAAGGTTCTCCCAAGTTCTCCAGTTTGCACCAATCTCCAAAAATATGTTTTTAAGGCTGGGAGCTCATTATTTTCAGTTTTGGATCTAGTTTCAAATAAACTGTGTTGAGCAGTGTCTCCCCTTGCAGCAGACGGCTTAACAACTTTTAGAGAAACAATTTCAATGAAAGTTTGTAAAAGTGTGAATAATGAGCCCTCATAATATGGCCCAAAGCAACTGCCTACTGTGAGTTTCATACCATGCATTGAATCAGCATAGTATCTCAGAACATAGCTGTAACTTTTCTTCTAGGTCACAGATCAAGTGGTTTTCCAGCTACTCCACTGTTTAAAAAGTGCAATTGGTGTGCTAGGAGGGGTGAAAAGTCTTGTTGGTGTGAAGAGGAGTTGGTGAACATATTTGTACCAAAGATGTCTCTCAAGACAACTGGCCTTGAGCGGAGTTTAATGTTCTATTTACACTAATTTCTCTCTCTAAGCACTGGTGGAACCATGTTCCTGAGTTAGATTTTGAACAGATTTTTTTCTCAACTGCTCACAATAAACTATTATCCAAAGAACCATCCATTATCAAAACCTCTTATCCCATTCAGGGTTGTGAGATGGAACTGATTCCAGCTGTCATTGGGCGAGAAGCAGGGTACACCAGGTCGCCACCAGGGCTGACATAGAGAGACAGACAAGAAGCCACACTCACACCTACTGGTGGTTTAGAGTCGATTAACGCCCTCATGCACGGAGAGAACATGTGAACTCCACAAAGAAAGGCACCCTCGTGGTGATTCAACTGTGCAGTCAATCAAAGAACCAAATGTTTAAAACCTGAAGTATGCTTATTGCTCAGGGAGCGTACCAATATTCTTTGGGTTCTATGTTCTCATATGTTCCTCTGTCAGTTATCTAGCGCCAGTAGGTTGCAATCATCCATGAAGCCTACAAAAGTTAAACATAATTTTCTGTGTGGCATGCTGTTTCCACATAATGACTTAAAGCTCATGAACACAGTGAATTAAAAGGTCCTAGTGACTATTTTACTACTGTCAATTTTGTTATTGGCATAAAAGTTGTTCATCAGTGACTTACGCTGCTGGACATGTATAGTACTGTAATGTATCAAGAAATATCTCAACTTTGTAAGAAAAATGGTTCAGAGACGACTAAACTCTAACTTCAAGTGTTTCATTTAAAACGCTTGTTTAAAAACGTTCAACTGCGATGAGAGCCTCTCTAAAAAACTCTTGTTAAGACAAAAGAAAAATGCTGTTTCCGCAAGAACCACTCTGGTTAGAAGTAAACACAATTTAGCCAGTCCAAACTTCAAAAGCTCAGTTGTTGGGCGAGGACACAATCTTTCTGTGATAGCTTTTAATT